TTATTTAAAATGAATGACAACCCAAATTCTTGTTGGTCCGGGTCGCTCAAGTAATTCACTATTTTGTTCACAAACAGGACGGACTTTGGTTCCATATCTTTGTTCAGTATAATATCCTTCGGGAGTGTTGGGAGCATATCTTTACTATGTTCTTTGACTTTTTTTGTTATTCAAAACTATTAAAATCAAGCCATTTTATTAGCCATCTTTTTTGGTATTTATGGTTATTGTTATTAAATATATTATCAATTTTAACTGGTTTTGGTATAGAAAAGTAAAATATGCCGAACTGTTCTCCTGAGCAAAATGAAACAAAAAGTCTAAACTCCAAGTTTGTATCTTCTTAAGTTTTTTATTAGTAATTGTATTAGACTTTTCATGTACTAGAAAGACTAGTTTAAATATAGAAAATCATACGATGAATGAAAAACACCTTATTTAAACACACCACAAAGATCTAAGGTGGTCAAAACGACTCCGACTATGCCAAGAATAATCCCCAATATCCCAGTGATCAAAGCTAATATCTTTCTCCAACCTGTAGTTAACTTAAACACGAAATATGCTGGGAAGACATATACAATGATCACTCCAAATATCGCGCCATTGTATGCTAAGACTATTTCAATATCCTTCACAACTACTGCGACAAGGATTACGAGAGATACAAAGATCAAACTTTCAGAGATCCGCCTTGTCGTACTCTCCCGCCATCTGTCAAACAACATTGTGTCTAATAAACTCCTCTGAGCAAAGTGGACCAATGGGAAACTTGCAGCCATGATGAAACAGAAGGATATGCAAGCGACTAAGATGTACTTATCACTTCGCGGGTAACTGATCAGTACGTTGCCAACGACATCTTTACCCATCGACTTGTATCCAAACACTCCAACAAGTGCATATGCGATATAAGCGATGGAGGTGGATACTAGAGAGATACACGTCAGTTTTTTCACCGATCGATTTTTGAGTTCCACGTAAAATCGGAAGACGTTATAATGGCAACAGAACGCGCCGGTGTATATCGGAAACCCTCTGAATGTGTTCCACGTGATAGAAAAGACTTTAATATCTGGCGCAAAGTATGTGGTATAGCTTTCAACAACTATAACTACAGCAGTATATGCCACACATATCACAGCGCCGATAGAAAACCATTTCAACGCGTCTAAAGTCCTTGAAAAGCTTAAAGGATATATCAGTAGAATACATATTAATGTGATCTCAAATGAACGATCAGCAAAGAAAGAGTTATTCCCTATTATATACGGCAAAAACCCGCCTAAGAAGATGATATATCCAATACACGTCCCAGTCGTATATAACATCGCTGAGACTTGAACTAAGGTCGAGAGAACTTCACCACCTACTCTCTGTGAGATATCTTTATATGTCGACTTCCCTGTGAGTTCACAGGAAAGCGTTAGAAAGTAGATCGTGACTACAGACAACACCCACGCACATGACATTAACAGTAACCCTCCTCCCCATCCGGAATATAACATCGCAAACGGAACTGCCAACGTCCCGTTCCCTATAATCGTGTTCGCTAAGTTGAATATAGTCGCTAAAATCCCAGACTCCCCCTTCGGAAACGACGACTTCATCTCTTTTATTAGTACCATCTCAAATACTATATTTTATAGTTTCTTTATTATTCATTTTACTAGAAGGCTTCCTTGGCAATGGGGGCAGTTCTTCTTTGGAATCCGATGGCAACAAAACACTGAAGTATACAAAACTAGAATTAAACTAAAAAAGAACTATAACTGGAATTGAAGACATCTCGACATGGAGAACGACATTCGACGCACAGAAATCACCAGTGACCTCAAAAAGGCTTTTGGAGATGGGCCCTTTGATGTTATGATTGCGGGGACGTTCGATTTGATCCATCCGGGTCACATCAATTACATCAACGAAGCTGCGCAGTATGGACGAGTCACAGTGATTATCGCGAGAGACTCTGTCGTGAAACAGAATAAGATGCGAGAGACTGTCTTAGATGAAGACATGCGGCTCGTTGTTGTTGGTGCTCTTAAAGGCGTCGAAAATGTCGTTCTTGGTGACGAAGATCCCCAAAAATGGTATCGACCGGTTTTGCAGTACAACCCTCATCTCTTTTTAATGGGGGTAAACCAACCGGGCGACTTGACTAAGTTCCAAAAGGTAATTCGTGACATGGGCGGTTTGTTATTAATTACAATAACTATAATTTTAATACAGTGTTTCAATGTACTAATACATACTATAATTGTATCATATATTAACTATACATTCATCCTAAAGGAAGAACCATCTTCAAGAGATCGTCTTGTCTCGTACTGGAATACTCTCTAAAGTCGTCGACGATGATCAGAAAAAGGGTGGTGGATGTCGAGAACGAGAGTAAAAGTCCAAGTCCGAAGCCTTGTTCGTATGATTGAGTATACTATTATATTATAGTTTATTTATTATTGAAGTGCCTTTATATATAGAATTCAGGGCGTCCAATTATAGCAAAAGTTATAGTAAATGAACCAGAACTTATAGTAACTTGATCACTCGTTTTGCTTTTGTACCATCAGCTTGACGATATTTTCCATTCTTGACAGGACCGTCTGTCTGTCGCGAAGTAAAATGTCGTAGGCTCTTTTCTCCAAGTCTTTTTCATGAAGGCGTCTCTTGTAGTAATCGATGGCTTTTGAGAAGGTTTTGGAGATGTAAAAGACGTCGCCGATGTGAATGATGACCCTCCCTTCACATGTTAAATCGCCTTTGACACACATCAACGGTGTTAACGGTACAACAACGTTTTTCGTCTGTGTTTTGCCGTCTTGGAGTTTGTTCACAACATCAACGTTTTCGTTTAAGTCGCGTATCTCGTCGGCAACCCGCTTTACGTTGGAGTTGATCCATTCCAATTCCTTTGTGTGAGTCATTTGTAAGTAAATAAAATATTATGAATAAGACGAGAAACAAACACCAACAAGTTTCTGGTTAAGTTCGGCAAGTTGGTATTTGTCAAGTCGTTGAAGGTTGATTGTATCGGCAATGCACTCCATCACGTAGAAAGTGTTATTTCGAGTTTCGTATAATTCTATAAACAGTAATTAAATATAATAAAAAATGGGAGAGGTAACTTATGTGAGCAAAAGAGAGTGAACACGGAATGAATTATAACTTTTTTATAATTAATGACTTATTTTTTGATGGCAAAGTTGGTAAGTGACTGTGGGTTTGTTACAACGCTCAGTGTGTTAAAGAACGTCGGCACTGGGAAGCAGTCGTTCTTTTCCACTATCTCCTTGATGAGTGTTGTTCTTCTCAAGTACGGTTTCAAGTAGTCGTCGGACGAAATGTTGAGTGAACAGCAGTAGTTGGCATTGACGGCAGTTTCTCTTACAAGTGCTGGGAGCAACTCTTTGCCGACAATCATTCCGTCCATCAACGGCCCAAATTGTCGAACGTTTTGTTTTCTCCAAATTCTGATTTTGTGGAGTCCGTTGCCGAGTGGTGTGATTACAATATGTGCAGCGTTGAACTGGCTCGTAATTGTGTGTGGTGAATACTCTCCAGATTCATTCCAAACGATGTGAACATAATCATTTCCAACGTGTCTCTTCTTTGTCAGTTGCTGTGAATCATCCTTTTGTGTTGGAATTAATACAACATCATGGAAGATTACTTCCTTTGTCGAATCGGCATAGTACCGAATGATCTCACCCGTTGACAAATATCCTTTATCAAGTCCCCCCAAAAATCCGTTATGTGATTTGATGTCAAGCGTCCATCCCATTCCATTACAAAACTCAACATATTCCTTCGAACCCGTCTCATTCATCAATATATCAAACTGGTCACTTTGTCCCTTTTTCACATAAATCAACCCGACCTTGTGGAACGGTCTCACACAACTCTTGTCCAAGTTACCCAACAGTATTTTGAATTTCTCGTTGGGATTAATTGGCACAAGAAGAGTCTTTGTTAATGGCATCGGGTCAATAAATTGTGTCTGACACAGCAGTGCATGGATGAGGAATTTCGATGGATCAATTTCTTCACTGTTGTCCTCGATAAGATAGCGACTTGTAAGAGCAGAAACCACACCCAACTTCTTTGCTTGCATCTCGACATTGTCCATTGCTTCTTTGACGTGTTTCAAGTCATTCTGGAAATCAGTTCTATTCACGCCATTGGGCATTCCCCAGTCTAGCATCTCCGCGTCTTCCTTTTCCAAATCATCCATAAGACTCTTCAGTTCGTTCTTCTTTTTCTCTTGGACCACCACATCGGGATATTTCATTTCAACTCTCTTCGATATGTCTTTCACGCGAAGTACGCCTTTTGGTTTCTCCTTTACAATACCAAGTTCCTCCAACAAATAATTTGCTCGTACCCCCCACAACGTTTTCCCCACCGCATTCCGCACGGTCAAATTACAAAAATCTCCGTCCGTCCCCTTTTCAATAGAGAGCAACGTATTCCCAAACGCCCACCACGTGATTTCCCCTTCTTCCATGTGCGTCGAGAAGAATTTGTCGCTGCCTTTGTCGTTCGGCACATATCCAAAGGCATTTAAAATCGTTTGTAAAAACACTTCTGCGCACTCGGGAGCAGACGCCCGATATTTGACATTGGGGTCTGTCGGTTGTTGACTTTTTGGCAATGCCATAGCATACGATATCGCGTTGAGTACCCTCACAGTGAGATCCGCAGTGAGTGCCTTCGAGAAGATACACGACGGCGCAAAGGCCCAGTCTATCATTGATGTGAACGCACAGGCAATTGCCTCTGATTTTGTCGCCTTATCATTGATGACATTTAAAAGCTCTTCAAATATTGCTCTGACATCTTCTACAGTGAAGTACTGAGAGAACGAGACTAACTCTCCGATAACTTCAGCAGCGGGTCTATATAACTCCTCGTTCGGTTCACGAATAAACTTTGAAATCACTTTAACGATCGGCGATAAGACGTTCTTGGGATCGGCACGCCTCGCATAGATTGCATGGGTGGCCAGTCCATAGATCAACGCAATGTTGACTGAAATGCCAGATAAGTTTGCCATTAAATTACGATAGCACTCTGTGAGAGATTGAGTGAATGACGAGTTGAGTTTCTCAGATTGTGACAACATGACAAACACTTTCGGGTAATCTTCTTGGAGAGGAACCATACTGTTTAGTAAAGAAACTATTTGAATGTCTCGGTTTGGATTCTCACTTTTCTGATTTTTCACGAGTTTCAGATTGAGAAGTTGCCGAACGAAAGGATAGATAAGCGCAGGCCAGCCGGGAACTTGATTCGGAAATATATCATACAACTCCTCAAGGAGGATTAAACCATACGAATTAAGACCACTCAAGACAGTGTCGTAAAACAAATCATAGAGATCGTCTGTGAAGCGAACGTATGGACGATTCACTAGTTTGCAGATGGCTCGGTAACACAATTCCATGGCGATTGGGGTCTGCGTCTTACGCTTCAAAGCACCAAAGAATATATTTCCGAAAACATCAACCAACTTTGGACGAGTGGGGTTGATCTCTGTGCCAAAGCTGTCGACTTTTGTTTCAGCATTCACGAAAATAAGGAAGAATTCGTAGAGGATCTTTATCCCACATTCAAAACATTGATCATCGGGATGAGTATTGACATCTTGGAATAGAGAATAGAAGTAATACCACAACTGCAGCGCATCTTCCCCAGCAAGATGTGGAAAGAAGTTTGAAAATTTGTCGTCCAAACTTGGAGCAACGAAAATTGCTGTTGGAACTTCGAGGTGGGTGGACCGCTCAACTTTCTTTGTACCAACTGTAATTTCGTCGGTGTTTTCCAAGAGCAAAGGGGAATAAAAGTCCTTCAAAACAAGTCGCGTGCAGTGGTTCAGCTTGAGCTTTATTTGGTCAGTCACATTCGTGTTACTGAAGTAAGGAGTCATTCTCTCTCGGAGCATGATCCAGTCGTCGGGAGACCTTTCCCATTTGACAAAAAGAACCAAAATCAAATCCACGAATGAACTTGTTGATTGGGGGAAGTTGTTTTTGACCAACAAATCGATGGATTTCAAAACAACAGTAATACACACAGTCTTAAGCTCTTCAGTCAGTTCGATATTTGAGAGTTTGATAAATTCAAGTTTAATAATCTCGACCAACTCTTTCACTTCATTGATTTTGCCACAAGCGCATGGAGCGTCGAAGAAAATGGCGATGTCTTCAATCAAGAAATTCTTAAGCCCGATAAGTTCATCCAACTTTGGCGATTTGAATGGGTGTTGTATTGCAATATCAAAGAAATATGAAATAGTCGAAGTGATGATTCCCTTTGTAGTTTCGTCTGGGGGAAGTTGGAGAACGTTGAGATAGAAATGTTTGATGAACAAAATATGGGCTGGTCGGTTCCGAAGCTTTTCGTAAGACGGAGATGTGACCAATTCTTTATAAAAGTCCAAGACAAGTTGGTCGACATTCTTTGGAGTAACCGCTCCCTTAACGCCGCACGTGGGGTGCTGTTGTTTATACACGTAATGTGCGTTGTCAGCGAATACCGGGAAAACATAAGAGAGTAACACCTCGACTAGGTGGAAAACATGGTCGATGTTTGGTGGTGTTTTGATCGTTTTTATCAAATTTGAAATGAGTTTTGTGGTCACAGCTGGTTGATCGATGGTATCTTCTTCTGGTGGGACGTATGCGTATTCTGCATACGACAGTTTATTCACGGGGAAATCCGCTTTTATATACAACGCCCCCAAATTAACAGTGTTGATGAATTGGAATGTGATTTCGTCTTGCTCGCCATAGAACAAAGCCAAGTCGATAAGCAAATTACAAGAGGCCTCTCGTATTTCTGGGTGACTTTCTATCTTCAAGAAGTTGATCAAAAACTTTTCTGCATGTCACTTGGTGTGGATTTTGAACGAAAAGAAAAACACCGAATCAACAGAATATATCGGTAATATTCTAAAAATACAATTATTATCTTTGAAAGAAAAATGGGCACAAAAGTTGACAAAAATGCAAACAAACGATATAAATCAAAGACGGAGAGTTCATTAAATTCATAAAGTGGTGTGACTGTTTTTATAAGTTTTATCAAGTTAAGTGCCTCTTTAACTGGCACATTGACTCGACCCTTTTTCACGTGGTTTAAGTAGTATTGTGTGACTTCGATTATAAACCCACTGATTCCTTGCTTATTTGCTTTCAAAAAAGAAGCGTAGTCTTCTGGAGACTGAAGCTCGCTGAGTGAAATGCAAGCTTTCACTTGTGAAACAGCGTTTTCTTTTTGGTCGAATATCTGGGCTTGCTTCTTGCGTATCTTTTTGTCTAACTCTGTCATGTAATCTGAAAACACTTTTTCAGTTAAAATCAGTTCTAGACTTTGGAATTATTTGTTTAAATTATCTACAATAATCTAATCATTTTTATGAGCAACTATTTTAAAACAAAGTATCGTTAAGTTTACAAATTAAGAAATGTGTTCTTATTATATCTTCAAAACATTTCTAGTATACTTTTACTATATTAGTATTATAAAAATCTATTAATATGAAAATAGCATATACAAATAATTATAATATCATTCATTTATTATTAATTGTTCTTTTCTAAAATAAATTTTTTCAACATTCAAAAAAATAATTATATATATTTTTTTATTTGATAAAACATTTTAATAACATTTTTAGGGTGGTAATTGAATTATTTTTTTGTCTTATCTAAATTATTATCACCACTTTTGGAACACTCTTTTCGTTTTACTTCCCCTCAAAATAAATTGTTTGTTTGTATAGTTAAATTATAATATTTAATTATGTTTGTTTGGTTTTATTATAATAATATAAATAGAACAAGTAAAAAATAACAAAAAGAACCAAAACAGACACAAAAAGATAAAACTATTAATCAAATTAAAATACATAAAATTTATCAACAAATAACAGCTACAAATCTCAGTAAAAAAACGGGGTTTTAAGGAAACGAAAAATCAAGCACGAATTTACAAATTCTGGACAAATATAATTAAAATTATAGTAAAAAACTAAACAACACCAGTCTAAAAAAATGAGTGAAAAGGCATTTATGATGAAGTAAATGGTGATTGCAATAAAAAGACTTAAAAAAACGGGCAATAAGAAGTTAAGAGAAAAAAAACAGAAAAGACCAGATTTGATAGGCGAAAAAAATGGGAACTTCAAAACCAAAAAACTTGAAAAGAGCAGATGAAATTGTTATTTTCGAATGTCACAAGTACCGTCACTGAACAGCTTGATCTCGAGGAGTGTGTTCTCCAAAAAATAACAATCTTAGAGATCCACCGCCTCTTAGCGGAACGTCTCCAATCATCTGCGACTGATATCACACTGATCTATCGTGGGTATAAGTTGGAGGACTCTTCAGTCTTTTCGACGATCAGGTATCAAGAGGGCAGTAAGATCATCTTTGTAGTAAAGAAGAAGGAGAAGTCTACACCGCCCCCACAAGCTGTTACGACGGAGAAGAAAGAGAAGATGAGTATTCTTCAAGAAGTGTTGAACGAGTGCGATGATCAACCCGACTATGACCCAACATTCATTCGAGCACTCTTTGAATCTGGACCATATAAGGAATACTTAAAAGAACACCCGGAAGTCGAGGAGGTCATTAATAACCCAAAGGAACTTAAAAACATCATGAAAACCATTTCAAACCCAGATTTAATGACACAAACACTGAGAAACACTGATAACGTCATTTCTCAAATGGAGAATATACCAGGAGGACATAACCAACTCTTAACTATTATGAACGGAATGGATCCGTTGGAAAGTATGACAAAATCTAATGTTAAATTCAACCCCGACGCGACTAATGAAATGTTCATGATGGACAAACCCCTCCAAAAACCAATCAACATTTTCGAGGAAAAAACAAATAATGACTTTAACAACATGTTTGGGATGGACTTCATGTTTGGAAACAACTTCGCAAACAATCAACAAAACAATTTGTTGCCACGACAACAACAACCCTTGATTGCTAATACAACAGAAACCCCTTTACAACCTCAGACAGTGCAACTCCAGCAACGATTCAGTTACCAAAATCAATGCCTCAAAGAAATGGGGTTCTTGAATGAAGAGGAAAACTTGAGAGCTTTAACCCAGACTAATGGCGATATGGGAAGTGCCATTGATATCTTGGCGAACAAAATGAATTGACAGGATGGTGTGATGTGGCCCATATTTGATTGTTTTGGCGTGCACTATTGGTTGGGACTTGTCAGCGTAATTGATTAGTATGTGTATCACATTTTTAACTATTTGAATTATTTAATAATTTAATAATTTGTAACCATATAAATCAATTACGCTGACTTTTATCAAAAATTTTGTTTTTTAATATGTTATTGTAAAAAAAGACCCGTCACATGAAGACGGGAAGATTAGTATTTCAGGATTTTAAAACAGTTTTAAAAACATTTTAAAAATTGAATATGGTTTGAAATGGTTTATTTATAACAATAAAATGAACTGTTTCCCAAATAAGATGATGTTTGATAACATTCCTCATGGAAATATAGTTTATTTTTAATTAAATAAATTATAAATAATAGTAAAATAAAAAAGACAACAGTTATGTTCTATTATCCCGAACTTTTTAATAAAAAAAGAGTAAAATTAAAACATTTTACCACTTCGAAACAAAAATCAAGATTTTGAATGTCGGAAACAAAGTTGAGAAGAGAGCAAAAAAAGAACAAAAAAAGACTCATAAAACAAACATGGGATTTTCAGAAAGCAAACCAGAGTCATCAAAACAGTCCTTTTCAAGGAACCCAAACTCAAAAATGGCGATTGTCAAGGACAATTATCACTCAATGGAAGAACTCCAAGACGGGCTCCGCGCCGCTGGTCTGGAGTCTTCGAACCTCATAATCGGCGTGGACTTCACAAAAAGTAACACGTGGACCGGGAAGAACAGTTTCAAGGGGTACTGCCTGCACTCTATATTTGAGAACGGAATGAACCCATATCAAAGGGTCATTGACATCATCGGAAGAACAATGGAACCATTCGACGATGATAATTTGATTCCTGTTTACGGATTTGGAGATGTCAACACCACAGATAAGTCTGTGTTCTCGTTCAAAGTGAACGACCAACCATGTAACGGGTTTCAGGAGGTCCTGCAGCGATACAACGAAATCACACCAAACGTCAGGATGAGTGGACCAACCAACTTTGCGCCACTCATCAACAAAGCGGTTCAAATTGTTCAACAAACGAAACAATATCACATCCTCCTCATCATCGCCGATGGGCAGGTCGACGCCGAAAGAGCAACAAAAACGGCCATAGAAAACGCATCAAATTACCCGTTGTCTATTGTGACAATCGGTGTGGGAGATGGTCCTTTTGATAAGATGGAAGACTTCGATGATGTTTGTTATCACACGCTACTTTTTACATGTTCAATTTTGGACTTTGAATACTCACAACAAGAAACTCGGTGGAAGCAAATTTGACAATTTTAATTTCGTCAACTTCAACAAAGTTGTTTGTGGTCCACGTGTAGAAAACCCAGACATTGCATTTGCCACCGCCGCGATGAACGAAGTCCCAACGCAGTATTTGTTGTGCAAGAAGTTGGGGTATTTAAATTGATTTTCATTTTCACTTACAAAATGCTTTTTCATGATACAAACGGAATACGAACACTAATAAAACAAATTAAGCTTCGACGCCGACTGCTTTGCGAAGCTCGACGAGAGCTTTGCGGACTTTTGTGTCTTTTTCCAAGGCAGAAACAAGCACCTTTCGATCGAACATTGGTGTGATTTTCACAATGTCTTCGTGACAGGAATCTCTGCCATCGTCGATGACGCCACGAGAGTCGAAAATACAAAGACTCTCTCTGAATTGTTTGAGCATTGAAGGCAAAGGTTTCAGTCCAATCCGCGCGCATAGCATTTTGAATTTCTGAAAGAGCTCTCCGACTGATATGACGCCTCCGCTCTTTTTGCAGAAGAACATAGCACAGCACAAGGCTTTTTCATAAGAAGACATCGAGAAAAAGAACTCTTTCATATCATTGTCGCCATTACAGATGGACACTGCTTTGATTGCATGAATGAGTTTAACTGTCTGGCTTTTCTCGTTCTTTGCTAATTGTATTGCTGTGGGGCACAACGAAAAAATGGAACGAATGTCCCCTTCTCTATTCACAAGTTCCTTTGCGATGTGTAGTATCGCCTTTTCGTCAAATGCACTGGATGCCCTCTCTCGTATAACCATCGCCAATTCTTCGATACTATTCCTTGTATAACAGAATTCAGTGGCATGCGGTGACTGCGTTAATTCACCAGCTAACCTTGCATAGTCTTCTGTATCATTAGAAATGCCAATGACAACACAATTTGGTGCTTTGAAGTAACTGAACAACGAATTCTTGAGCCAATTGTAGATCTCTGTCGATCTCTTCTTGAGTCTATCTACCTCATCAAATACTATAATTTTATTCATCTGTGTTGTGTCATTCAAATAAGTCAAAACCTCTTTCAAAGATGACTGTCTGTCTGTTTCTCCATAGAGCTCAGTAGCTAAAGCACTACATAGCATCTTGCTAGTGGCCTGTACTGCAACATTAATGTAAATTACTTTATTAGTGTTCCTTATATTTGTGGAGTTGATAACTTGTCGAACTACTGTCGTCTTCCCAATCCCATTGAATCCATGTATCAAGACAAGACCAAATTGATTGTTATGTGTGAAACATTCGATTGTTGATTCCAACTCTATCATTTCGTTCTCGCGACCAACCAACGCATTTTGTGGACTTCGGACGTCAAATTGTAAAAGCGCGTGGTCCAAAGGCGTTTGGTTGTTCATACAATTTCTAGTCCTTCCCAAATTGTTCCTTTTCTTTCTGGAACCCTATATTTTCCTCAATTCACTTTTTTTTGGCCAATGTTTGGAAAAATAAAAATTGAAAAGAGAAAAAAACAACTATTGTATTTAATATTTTTTATTATAAATTATAGCACATGTGTATGTGTTTGAACTTAACTTTGATTTTTTTTATTTTTACTTATCTATTAATAAACTTATATTTGTATAGTTCTTAAAATTATATTTAAACTAAATTCAGTTCGCAAAAATAAAACAAAGGCTGTTAAATAAGTCATAAGTTGTTTTATCGTTCATCTAATTATAATAACATATTCTACTATATAAATATATTTAATTATAATTAAATTATACAATTTGATTATTGTATAATATATTTAATAATTAGATTATAGTCGGGTGATAAAGGGGGTTAATTTGGGACAGAAGTAGTTAATTTGAGTAAAAAACTATAAAATATAATTTTTTTAACTATAAAAGTATTAGAAGGGTTTTTTCAATTAACTACTTTGAAAATAATAAAAAAAACCATAACTTTCTATTTTTGATATTATTCAATCTTTGAAAACAATGGAAGAAGAAGAGAAAGGAACCCTTGATGAAACAACCACAGGCAATCAACATAAAAAAGCAATTCAAATACTAGAAACCAGTTTAAAAACTGTATTTCAATATATATTCATGATGTATATGGTTAAAATGCCAGAGTTTAATGAATTAACAACAGTGTCAATCCTTTAAAGTGTCACGGAATCACTGAAAAATCATCATTTGTTATTTCAATCTTTCAATCTTTCGTTGTTAAACCATTCCCATTGAGAAAGGAAAAGAGAAAGACCATTTTAACACCAAAACAATTGGAGTTGAAGAAGAGCAGAAAAGAAACGAAACAAAGGGAAAAACAAAGGAAAATCCTTTAACAAAACAAGTTTCAGACAAACCATAAAAAGTGCTGCGTTTTAGACTTCCACGTTTTTTAAGTGAACAAATTGAGGTGTTTTTGTTTATTTTTGAAATAGAAATTCATAATTATTCAATTTATAATCATTTAAAATAAAAAACGATAATTTATATTATTGTTTTAATTTTATGTTTATTTTGACCTTTAAATAGATTTTTTAAAAATTATAGTTTCAAAATTATATTTATCAAAATTAACTACCTTTGTCCCTTTTTAATGTTATTTATCCCCCGACTATAACACCTTTTAGATTTACAAGAAGGGATAAAAAATCGCTAGTTTCTTTTTTACTGTTTAACATTATTTTATATATTCATATGATATTAATATAATATATATAATGTATGGTACTGTTAACTATAAAAAATGAATATGCCTCGTGCAGACTTTTTTTGTTACAGTGATATTTTGAATAATACTTTTTATCATAATGATATTATTAAAAACTAATAGAAAGAATAAATAGCAGTAAAAAAGACTTTTTTTTATTATTATATAATAATTATAATAACTATATTACTAAGTATGATTAATTTGAATAGTAGTTTTATTTATAATTAAAAATAATCATTATATAACTGATTCTATAAATGGAGTGTAACTTAATAAAGATTAAACTATCAAGAAACCATTAAATAACCCTTTGATAATAAACGATGAATAAGACGAACTGAGAAGAGAACTGGAATGCCAGTTTCATGTCGTCCGTCAAACAAGCCAAGAAGACGCAAGAGGGAGTCAACTCCAAATTAGCCCTTGTAACGAAGAGTGGGAAGTATGTTCTTGGGACAAAGAGCACTTTGAAGTCCATTCGTGAAGGGAAGAGCAAGTTGGTCATCATCTCATCGAACTGCCCATCTTTGGAAAGAGCCAGAGTTGAATACTATGCTGTTCTTGCTAAGGTGAATGTTGTGCATTATGCTGGAACAAACGTCGACTTAGGAACTGCTTGCGGACGTTACTTCGGTGTTTCTGTCCTCTCCATTGTTGATGCTGGGGATTCTGATATTATCAAAGCTGCAGAATAAGGCGTTTCATACTGGTTATTGAGTCTTTGTTTTATTTACTGTTTCGCTTCGAAACCACTAGCGGTGAGGTGGTGGAATAGCGCTTCACCATTTTTCCTTTCATTTCTTGCAAATTCAATTTCAATCGTGTTATGATTCAAAGTACAAGTCACTCCACACACTTTTTTCAATGCATTTCCTTGTCATTTTTATATTTAAAACACACCAAAATCAAACTGTTTGTGCGGGAGAGTTACTACCTTCAAATCGATAATAACGAAAAAACCTAAAGAACCCTCAAAACTATATTAAAACTATATAAAAACAATAATTGAATGGGTAAAACACCAATTTGCTATTGAATAACAAAAAAACTCGAAAATAACAAATTAAATTAAAAAACTATTAGTATAGAATTTGTCTTGATGAGTAAAGATATTAAAGATATCTTCAAATCATGCGATGAGATTGGTGTCTATATAGCCCAGAGATATTTGCACGATAACCCCTGAAAAGACTCCAATGTATATCGCAAGGCAAACTAATGCGACGGAGAGCCGCGGTTCGACATTACTCGAAGAGTGTTCAATGGAACACGCCATTAAAAATCCTTGAATGGCACCTAACACAAATGCGACAACAAATGTTGCGTACTCGACATACACCGCAACGTCTGTATTTAATGTATTTACGATGAAATACATTGGGAGAGTCACAAAGTAACTGATTAACAAATACCCAATAGAACAGAAAAAGACGAATTTCTGTGTTGGAATCTTTTGAAAGATCTCAAGCAACCTGCCGAGGGTGTCTCCAATAGCAAAGAGTAAAGAGCAGATACTAATTAACATGAAATATTCCTCATTTTCGCTACTTTGAAGTTTCAAATAGAGGTGTTCGACTGCATTTAAGAAGTGGGGGTATAACGAGAGAGTCGTGAAAAAGATGAATGTGAGTGACAAGAGAGAGAACTTCATCTCTGTCAGAATTCCCCAAAACATTCTGAGAACAGGATAATTGGTGGGCTTCTCGTTGTCATTCAAAATGAGGTAGTCTGTTGTGTGTACGATCTTTTGTGACACCAAGAAATTGGCGACGTCATGAAATCCGTAAAAGTTGATGATTGTTAAGACTAAAGTGACTGCGCTTATCACTAATATAATAAGAGGAGTAAGAAATGATAAGTCGTTTTCTATAGAACCAGTGCTACTGTCTTTAGTTACCAATTGTGAAATGAGTAACGACAAGAATGAGGATATCACCCCACTAAAAGCCATTCCAGTTATATAACACGTTGTATGTAAAGCAGAGAGAGAATAACTTAAGTTGAAGAAGACCACAAAATTTGTAGCAGGAAGGATACAATTAATGATAGCTACGGGCAATAAGTATAAACCATAACTTTCATTATATTTCTCATCGGAATTGAGTCGAAGACAACACGACAAAATGACATATAAAGCGGACAACACCAAATTAAGGACTTGGTTGACTAACCCTAAAGTCCGGTAATAAAATGGAAAGTTCGGAGTGAATGATAAGACCACAAAAACTATCGCAAAAGTCACGCCACCTATCCCATCAATCAACTCAAAGATACCTACCATGAACCCAACATCCGCATGAATCAAGGAGTTGTATAACCCTATATAACATACACCAAAAAGAAAACATGAGACCATCGTGATTCCATTTGTAAATGGACTGAGACACACATTACCAAACATCATGATATATTTTCTTTTGTAATAACTTAATATCAGTTTTTTTCTTTTATGTTATGAAGAAAAACGTCCATTTTACAATTTATAAATAAATCAGTAAATGTATTAAATTAGAACATTTATCAAAGAGTTTTTTTTATTACCATTTCGGGTGTTGTGTTTTTTCACAACACCTGAAGAAAAATTTAAAATTTTAAGAAATGTTGGAATACTGTACTATTGTATAATACAAATTAATTAGAGCTAGTTGGATCATTTCGTCCTCGGATTATTATTATTAATCAATGGTAATTGAAAAATAACAAAATTCTTTCAAAAAAAATAAAATTTTAAGTTTTTTTCCTAAAAATTTGTATTTTACATATTTCCTGGGTTTTTAGATAATTATTTATGTATAAATTGATTAAAAAAACAACTTTAGAGACTGGCATAACATTGTTTACAATTCGATACATGTATTAAAAAATAATTATAACAACATGACTAAATTGAGTGTTTTTCTCAAAATTTATATAATTTATTTTATTTAATTAAAAATTATCTTATTATTATTTGTATAAAACATTTTTTTATTGATATTTAAAATTTTTTGAGAAAAAATAAAAAAATTTATTTAATTATTAGAACAACATTGACCACCACCTCTAAAAATAGATTTATTTTTTCTATTTAGAATTATATTCAAATTAAAATTATAGTAAATAAGAAACTGGGAAGATATTAGGTCTGGTTCCCGTAATCAAAAAATGCCGAAAAATCACCTCGTATCAGTGAGACGGAGCATTGAAAAGAAGGCTCATAAAGACGCACTTAAAAATTCTGTT